GTTTGTTCCACTCATCCACAACTCTATTACCAAACCAGTGCTTTCCTATATACTTCCTGAATCTGAATTTTTCCAATTTTAAACCATTCTTCGAGTCCTGTCTATGCTAGATAATTTCAGCACGCTATTTACATCCCCCTTTATTAATTCCTGTTTTCCACTTATACACTTCAATCATATCCCCCCTTAATTCTACGACTTTCTAGAGAGTGCAGATTCAGGGCCCTCAGTCTATCCTCATAGGGAAGATTTTTGATGTATGGGATCAACTGTGTCATCCTCCTCTGTACGTTTTCCAGTACATTTATATCCATTCTGTAATACGGTGACCAGAACTGTGTAGCATAATCTAAATGAGGCCTAACCAAAGATATATAGAGTTGAAGAACAACCTGAGGACTTCCATTATTTATACTTGCTATGAAGCCAGGGATTCTCTTAGCTGTATTGCGAGCACTTATGCACTGTTGTCTTGGTTTCAGATTACTGCTAACCAGAACTCCTAAGTCCTTTTTGCAATCCTTATTGTTAAGTTCTACATTGTTTAGTTTATATGTAGCACGGTTACTTTCCTGTCCAACATTTATTTGTCTATATTAAACTGCGTCTGCCACTTCTCCGACCACTGCATCAGTCTATTCAAATCATCCTTGAGTGCTCTAGTGTCCTCATTAGAATAAACTGGAAGGCCTATTTTGGTGTTATCACCAAATTTGCTTAAGTCGTTATTTATTTCCTCATCCATGTAGCTTATGTAAACTGTGAACAATAAGGGGCCCAACAATGACCCCTGTGGAACACCGCTTGTGACGTTCCCCCATTCTGATTTCTCCCCATTTATGCAAACTACTTGCCTATTTGTCAACCATCCCTCTACCAAGGAAAAAATTTCTCCTCCTATTCCATGTGCCAACTCTATCGAAAGCCTTACTGAAGTCCATATACACAGTATCATATTCAATACCATGATCTACCTCCTTAAATACTTTAGTGAAGAAAGTTAGTAAATTTGTAAGGCAGGAACGCCCCTTTGTAAAACCGTGCTGAGATTCATTAATCAATTTATGCCTTTCAAGATGGCTACGAAATGCTTCGACAATTATTGATTCCATAAATTTACCAACTATGGAGGTGAGGCTTATTGGTCTATAGCTCGAACCTAAGGACCTGTCACCTGCCTTGTAAATAGGTATTACATTTGCCATTTTCCACTTGTCTGGCACTATGCCAGTTTGTAGTGATATATTGGAAAAATTAGCCAAATGTATGCTAAGTTTCTCTTCACATTCCTTTAAAACCTTTGCAAATAGTTCATCAGGGCCATTACAATAAGAAGATATAATTGTTAAGTTTAACAAAGTGGTACTAATTACTAGAATTATAATACAAATAATAATAATAATAATAATAATAATAATAATAATAATAATAACAGGCAAAAAATGAATGAAAACAGCAGGATTCAAGTTTTGTTTGGCATAGTAAATTGCTGTCCAGATCACATGCTTTTTTTTTTTCAATAGTTTTAATCTGTGCGGGTGGCAAATAGATGACCTTCAGAATCTTCAGATCGGGAGTTAGAGATTTTAGGGTTTTTTATGCTCATATAGGTTTTACACAAGTTGAGTCGGGCACGAGGGATACCAGAGATATTTTTGAGTCTTGTTTTATGCCTATGAGTTGTGTTGCAGCCATCAAGGAAGACTGGCTGTGTGAGGAGATATGTGCAAATGTGGCTGTGTGAGGAAGGTATGTGTGAATGTTGCTAAGTGTGGGAGGTGTGTGTAGGTGTGGCTTGTGTGGGAGGTATGTGTAAGTGTGGGAGGTATGTGTAGGTGTGGCTTGTGTGGGACGTATGTGTAAGTGTGGGAGGTATGTGTAGGTGTGGCTTGTGTGGGAGGTATGTGTAAGTGGTGGGAGGTATGTGTAGGTGTGGCTTGTGTGGGAGGTATGTGTAAGTGTGGGAGGTATGTGTAGGTGTGGCTTGTGTGGGAGGTATGTGTAAGTGTGGCTTGTGTGGGGAGGTATGTGTAGGTGTGGGCTTGTGTGGGAGGTATGTGTAAGTGTGGGAGGTATGTGTAGGTGTGGCTTATGTGGGAGGTATGTGTAAGTGTGGGAGGTATGTGTAGGTGTAGCTTGTGTGGGAGGTATGTGTAAGTGTGGCTATGTGTGGTTAGGTATGTGTAGGTGTGACTTGTGTGAGGAGATATATGTAGGGCTTACAGTGTGGGGAAAATATGTGTAAGTTAGGTTGTGATATTTTTTGCATGTTTGTAATGGATCAGAGACAATACTTACACTTTGCTCGTAGGGTCCAGTCTTTAGTATATATTTAATTATGTGGGAATACTTTTTCCCAACACATCTGATTATTATGTACATAGTGATCAAGTCTTTCATTCAAGGTCGGTGCCATGATGCTTTGATCCAAGGAACTGGGACTACCTTCCCCTTCCTCGGAGTCACAGCTGATTATCCCCACTTCTCCAATTTCCCATACACTCTTCGACCTTTACAGGGTCACACTGTGACCCCCTCTAAATATTCTCGCACAATGATCCCTAAGTACTCTCTCTCTCTCTCTCTCTCTCTCTCTCTCTCTCTCTAGGTCTATGTACAGTATTATTTATTTTTTTTTACCTTTCCTCTTTTTTTCCCCTAAATTTTTATTTTTAAATCCCCATTTTTGTCTTCTTCTTCCACCCCCTTGATGCTAAGAGGTTTTCCTGATTAAAGGAAATTTTGAAGTGCCCTCTCCTTCCTTGATTAAACTTGGTTCCTAGAGTTTCTCTCTTGATCTTTTGCCCCTAAGGGGATTTAGTACTTATCTTGATACAATAACACATGTAAAAAAATTTTCCTTCTATCGTGTTCCTGGGAATTAAGCATCATTTCCCAATTCTTTTCTAAACAAAATTTACAAAAGTAATTTTGATTCCAAAAATTTTTGCTTTTGGGTGGGCCCTTCTGGAACATTTCAAGAATAAATGATATAAAACTTTATGTTCTAGGATTTTGCTTGGCAAATTTAAAACGGGAGCTCAAAAAAACCAGCATTCAGCTCAGCTCTGGCAAACTGAGAGACAATCGAAGAAGTGAAATGGCATCAAAAGGGCAGTATTTCCCGATGCATTTGTACATATGTGTAATTCATTAAACAAGGCAAAGAAGTTCTCTGTAAAGTATCTAAAAAAAAAGTGAGGGAAATTAAAAAGTATTTTGTATGAGTTGTGGCCAAGGGCAAAAACCCGGGCTATGTTTCTTGGAAAAATTTTTAGAAAAAACTGGAAAGGGAAGAAATCATTGTTTATAAAAGGGGAAAATCTTGAATAAAAAAATTTTTAAATGAAAAGTATGTAGCAAAACTAAATTTTTTTTCTTTTAAGGTGATTGAGGAGAAAAAAGAGCCATGAAGTTTGGTGTTGCTAGAATATGACGTGAACCCACTGATCACTCAACCAACTGTTACTTCTGTCTGGTGGATCCTTCCAAACACCGAACTGGGAAAAATACACCTGCTATTTCTTATCCAGGCTTCCCTCTTTATTGCCCAGTACCAACAGTGCTGTTTCCTGACTACACCTCCAGAAGAAAAAAGCAGCAAATCAGAAAAATGGAGAGCACAGTGAACAAGACTATGATCTCACAGATGATGGATCAAAATGTGCAACTGACAAGCCAAAGAAAACATCAACAACATTTCTCAAGCTTCTTCACTAATGAAGTCAGGTTGTGCTACTGTAGTGCTGTATCAGACCTGTTTGATGCAATTTGAATTGTATGCAATCTAGATGAGTGGAAACTCTTCACTGACAGTTCCTCCAGAAGCCTAAAAGATGTACTTCTGCACAACGGAAACAAGTATCAATCTCTTCCCTTGGCTCATTCAGTGCATCTTAGGGAGGACTATAACAGTGTCAAACTTCTACTGAAAGCTTTGAACTATGATACGTATGGCTGGGAGGTTATTGGAGATTTCAAAATAGTGGCATTTTTTATGGGACTCCAAGAGGTTTTACCAAGTTTCACTGTTATCTCTGTCATTGGGATAGTAGAGACAGAGCAGCACATTACCAGAGGAAGCCCTGGCCTCAAAGGATTGAGTTCTCAGTAGGAAGACATAACATCAAACATAAATCATTGGTGGATCCTCAAGAGGTTCTGTTCCCTCCATTTCACATCAAACTAGGGCTAATGAGACAGTCTGTTACATGTTACAGCTCTTGACAAAGAGTCTGCAGCCTTCAAGTATCTTCAAGATTTCTTTCCCAAGCTATCAGAGGTAAAGGTGAAGGCTAGCATCATCACTGAATCACAAGTCACGAAAATCATGGAGTGCTCAGAATTTCCAAAGAAGCTCATAGAGAAGGAAAAGGAAGCTTGGGAGAGTTTTGTTGCTGCAACAAAGGGCTTTCTGGGTAACAATAAGGCTGACAATTATGTAGAACTTGTTGAGACCTTGGTAAAAAGCTATGGTCAGATGGGCTATAGGATGTCCCTTAAGGTCCATGCTCATCTTTACAATTTCAAGGAGAATATGGGAGCATACTCAGAGGAACAAGGGGAGCGCTTCCACCGAGATATAATGGACTTTGAACACAGATATCAGGGAGCTTATAATGAAAATCATGACAGGAGACTACATTTGGGGGCTTAAAAGGGAAAATTATTTGTTGCTACTCGCAAATATAGAAAAACTGCTCATTTTTAACTTTGTAAATATGTTTCAGAAAGTTTAAAATAAAATTTGTGTAAATTTTATTTTATTTATGTAAATTTTATTTATTTTATATTTTTGGTTTACGTCCAAAACTAGCAAAAAATATTGAAATTTAGCCAGTTTTTTTTGTCAAAAATTCATCCTGTAAGTCACAAAAGCAAAGTTTAAAAGGAATAATGGGCATTTTCTGTTGTTTTGCAGTAAAGTGAGTTGGAAAATAACAGTTACTTGCCAGGAACAAAAACTGTGTTACATAGTGTAATCTCTCCTCACATCTCACCTGAGTTGTTCGTCAAGAACGCTGTAGGTATCAGAGTCTGGGCCCATCTTGCAGGTGCCGCAGGGATGGTACAAGGTACCAGCGAGGACTTTACTGTAGCACTCCCAGTACTTGTCCGAGTAGAGAACCTCGTGCTCGCACCCTGGTAGTACACGGTCGTGGAACACAGCATCGAAGTCCTCCTTTAATGCTGGCATCGATGCAAGTTTAAGGGAGAACTTTAACCCTGAGGAAGAATTGTTTAATAAAAATATATTAGGAATTAACCTTAATGGCCAAAGTTATTCTGTATGTTTATAAATCTTAGTTTCTTTCTTTAAATATGATGAAGAATACGAATATTTTCTGCATGTTCTATTCTTCATTATATTTTTGTTTTTAAGTAACACTCAAGACATGGTGTTATTCTCAGATATGTCTGCACACGCTGACTATCTTACAACATCCTCCTACTTCGTTTAATAATATTGCAACACTTTAACACTGCAGAGTATCCAACATCCCTCTGACCTGTTGAAGCATGAGACGGTTGTACAACATTTCGGAATTTTTATTGAGATAACGTTTCTCCTGTCAGTAGCTTCTTCAGACCAGTGCAAAGAAGAAAACAGGAAAAAGAGTAGGAGTTTCAGGTAATCAGTCCCTCAGCCTGGAATCGATTCCAGGCTATGGGACTGATTACCACACTTTTTCCAGGCCTTTTCTTTGTATTGAACTGAAGAAGCCAGTGCCTGGCGAAACGTTTCCTCGGTAAAGACTCCCAAATGTTGCACAAGTGTCTCATTCTTCAACTTGTCAGTTTTCTAAACAATTTTTCATATTCCACTGACCTACTGTCTCCATCTCAAGAGTTTCCAGTGACCTTCCTCTGTCTCATCATATCCTAGAATGTTCGCTTCCCTGTCTATTAACAACTCTTCACACAGTACTAACCTCTGATCATGGCTGCAATGTCTTCACACAGCACTAACCTCTGATCATGGCTGCAATGTCTTCACACAGTACTAACCTCTGATCATGGCTGCAATGTCTTCACACAGTACTAACCTCTGATCATGGCTGCAATGTTTTCACACAGTACTAACCTCTGATCATGGCTGCAATGTCTTCACACAGCACTAACCTCTGATCATGGCTGCAATGTTTTCATACAGTACTAACCTCTGATCATGGCTGCAATGTCTTCACACAGTACTAACCTCTGATCATGGCTGCAATGTCTTCACACAGCACTAACCTCTGATCATGGCTGCAATGTCTTCCGGATGATCGAAGTAGTTAGTATCGATGAGTGGTGCGTCCAGGGGGTTGGCAGAGTTGAGGGTGACGGAGCCTCTGCTCTTGGGTCTGGTCACAAAAGGACCTATGGAGAACCCCTCCCGACCTCCTAGACCGTGGAAGTATTGTTGGTAAAGCTGGGAAGGAATTATGGAGAGATGGGGAGAGAATAAATTAGGTTTATTGGCTAAGAAGATAATGGAGTTCTAAAAGAACAAATTATGTTTGACGGAGGAAGTTGAATAACAGGAAATGAATTTATATCCGCTGTGGAGAGGGAATAGACAAAAGAACTAAGGAATGGAAAAATAAATTATTTATTCAGAAAGGTTCGCCAGTTTGTCACACTTATAATCCAAATTAATAATAATTTTACGATATTTCGGACTATTTCCTGCTTACCACTTAAACTAAAATATTTTAGAGTCAAAATACCAAATGTCATAGAATTTATGAAAATTTTCACAGAATTAATTTTTAAAATATGTGAAATATGATGATTTAGGGATGTGTTATCAGGTATCCCAAACGTAAGACCATTAAGAGGTTGCCTGATTTTTTTTTCTTTTTTCTCCAACTAATCAGTTTTATTTGGCTCATAACTCGAGAATGTCTCATCCAATTGCCTTCAGATGCAAAACAGTTGTACAGGGTAACGGGGACCAAATTCTTGTAATACCTGGCATATTCTCTTGCCTTATAATCAAACTGGTTGAACCAAATCCCAGAATCCTGAAGTGACTTGAATAACTTCAAAATCCTCTGTGATGGAGCTTCTAACTTTCGAGAAAGATGCTCAAAAAAAAAAAAAACTCGACAACAGAGGAGAGTAAAATTCAACCATGTGTGTCTCGTAGCTTGATTACTAGAGCACTAAGCACCATGAGCACCCACTTTCTTTAACAGTCTCTAATGTGGTACTCCCTCAAAAGCCTAACTAAAATTCAAACAAACAGTTAACATTAATTGAAAAGAGGGTTTTGTCTGCCTTTCATAATAAAAAGTTCCGCATAGATACCAGAAATCCCTGAGGATACAGACACACTGTTCTACCCCCGGTACGGGTGGAGACATTAGGCTTGTTTCCCTAAGATACTCTTGTTCATGTGCACTTATCAGTAAAATAAGTACCTGGGTGTTAACTGACTGGTGTGGGTCGCACCCTGGGACAAAATTGACCTTATTTGCCGGAAATGCTCTACATAACAAGGGACTTTATATATATAACACTGATGTCAGTTAGATCTGTATACCTTGTACATATAGAAATGAAGATATTATTGATACAAGGAACCTGACTTACCTTCCTCTGCTTTGACTAAATTTAAAGCCTCTCATTCCACAGTCGCTATATAACCGCTATGGGTTTATCTCTTTCCTCTGATTAAAATATAAGAATTGTGAAGGGCATTATTCTTCAGTGGCTGATGACTCGTATCAAACGACTGGAACGTTTCGTGGGTTTAGGCTGTGTAGACAAAAAAAATTGAAGGATTCTGGGCAATAACTGGAAAATGCATCTTCTGGTCGGCTTGAAACTTTTAGTGCTGATGTGTTAGCCTCTTGGGAAACAATATTTTAATGTTAAGTTGTGTAACTTATCATATTCCAATTTTATTAATTAAATTGGTTTTACAGTATTTGACTTTATTTATTTACCTTATTTTAGGTACCTAAGGTCCCTCGGAAATATTTGAATTAGATTTGGTGTGTGTGACCTAATTTGGATATTAGCTTCCAAATGATGAGTTGTCAATGTCTCTTCTGATTCCTTTAAAATCTTCAACGCTAATATTTAAATTTATTATTAATTCATACAGGACTCTGTAGTGTTCCAGTCGTGTGGACTCTGTAGTGTTCTAGTCGTGTGGACTCTGTAGTGTTCCAGTCGTGTGGACTCTGTAGTGTTCTAGTCGTGTGGACTCTGTAGTGTTCCAGTCGTGTGGACTCTGTAGTGTTCCAGTCGTGTGGACTCTGTAGTGTTCCAGTCGTGTGGACTCTGTAGTGTTCCAGTCCTGTGGACTCTGTAGTGTTCCAGTCGTGTGGACTCTGTAGTGTTCCAGTCCTGTGGACTCTGTAGTGTTCCAGTCGTGTGGACTCTGTAGTGTTCCAGTCCTGTGGACTCTGTAGTGTTCCAGTCGTGTGGACTCTGTAGTGTTCCAGTCGTGTGGACTCTAGTGTTCCAGTCGTGTGGACTCTGTAGTGTTCCAGTCGTGTTGACTCTGTAGTGTTCCAGTCGTGTGGACTCTGTAGTGTTCCAGTCGTGTGGACTCTGTAGTGTTCCAGTCGTGTGGACTCTGTAGTGTTCCAGTCGTGTGGACTCTGTAGTGTTCCAGTCGTGTGGACTCTGTAGTGTTCCAGTCGTGTGGACTCTGTAGTGTTCCAGTCGTGTGGACTCTGTAGTGTTCCAGTCGTGTGGACTCTGTAGTGTTCCAGTCGTGTGGACTCTGTAGTGTTCCAGTCGTGTGCACTGAGACGCAGAGGGCTGGGGTTGTGAGACAGGGGACACCTTTCTAGGATCGCGCAGTGACAGAAATATTTTTATTTTTCAGATATAGGCCAACTTGGAAACAATTTTTTTACTGACAAATAATGACAATTGTTCGAGAACTCTGCTTATTAGTAAATCAATATTTATAAAGTTTAAAGCCCTTTTCTCTGTATTGGAATTAAAAAAAGAGAATTAATGTAATCTAATAATAAAGTACATTACAATTATGACTTAAAGTAACTTATCACATGGAACAAAGTTCAGTTTAAAAAACGATGAAAGGGTGGGAAAGAGGGATTAAAAAAATGTGATAAAACATGCAAGGAAAGAGTATAAAGAAGGAAACTTACATCTTTCTTGAAGCCGAGAATGTATGGGGTTACCAGTCCGAAATCACTACCGAGAGTAAGAGGAGTAAAGGCTATTTGTAACTCCGGCCAGAGAGGGTCTCCAGACCCTGTCACCGGCCAAGCGTAGGCTTCACTGGACACCGCCAGTGTCAGCGCTCCTGGGTAGTCATGGCCAAAAATAAATCATAAATACATCTATGTGAAAAATATTACACGGTTTTTTAAATTATTTCCATTAATAACCGATCCATTGATCGGTGTATTTCATATTTTTTTCTGAAGCCCACTTAAAAGACTTGGTTGATGTCCACTTGGAGATTTGCAGTGTCCTCAGTGGAAGACAGTGTCATGAAAATTCTGGTATCATTATCAAAGGACACAGTGCTGTGGCTTACATCTCTATGTCAGATATGAGAATAAAGAAATGGAAGAAATAATGATGGTATGAAAAGAAAAAGTGACGTGATACTGAATAGACGCCATGTTGGCTGTGCCATCCGTTGCCAGATGCTGGAGAAACTCAGGGGTTTACGATATAATACACGTGATAGCAGTGTAAGTGAATATGAAGCAAGTATTTCAACACCCCAGCAGTTTCCCAAGAATTCAGTGATATGATAAATGACCTCAGTCTATCAAAGCAAGCATCTTAACCTATAACATCCGAACTAAAAGAAAAGAATTGTCTACAACAAGAAGTTAAAATAACAGCTTATCGGAAAAGAAAGGTTGAACTCCTTCCTTACTACAACCTGATGAATAATTTGTATACTGCAATAGCATCCCTGGACTTCTTCGAATGGGACTCGAATATCGACCAGGAGATTAGTGGCTGTTTATAGACAGCTCCATCAGAAGCTTGAAATGTGTCTTATTGATTAATGGCAACCAATATACATCTCTTCCAAGTGCTTACTCAATAAAGCTTGAAGAAAAATACGAAAATATCAAAATGGTCTTGCAGAATTTTTGCTACCACGAGCATAAGATGTCTGTTTGTGTTGATCTGATGGTGTTTGGGCAACAGGGGGAATATACCTTTTTCATCTGTTTGTGGGACATTAGATCTAAGTCAGATCATTGGACAAAAGCGACATGAACTTGAAGACGAAACATGACTATAGGTGCAACAAACATCATTAACGAGCCATTGGTTGACATGGATAACATTATACTGCCAACACTCCACATTAAGTTATGGCTAGTGAAGCAGTTCATTAAGGCCTTGAACAAAGATGACAAATGAACGATCTGCAATCTGGATTAAGTATGGAAAAACTGAAAGCTGGAATCTTTGATGATCATCAAATTCGAAAGCTTATCAAGGAATTTAATTTCCCAAAATGTGTGAATGGTATACAAGTTTCTGCATGGTGCAGTTATGTGTCAGTTGTCAAGAACTTCTTGGGTAATCACGGAGAAGACAATTATGAAGAACTGGTGCAAAACAAGCTTTAAGAATTTAGGTACTAATATGATCATAAAGGTCTACTTTCTCCTTAACCACTTAGACAGATTTCTACATAGTCTTTGTGAGGTCAGTGAAGAACAAGGGAAGAGATTCCATCAAGATATAAAGGTGATGGAGGAAAGGTATCAAGGCAGATGGAACACATACATGATGGCAACCTATTGCTGGAACCTCCAACGGGACTGTCCTGATGACCAGTATGGAAAAAAATCGTACAAATAACATTCTCACATGCAGTAATTTGTGATATCTGAATTATCTTAATGTTAATTTCTTATTAAATAGAATGAAGTACTAGTATGTATTACATAATTTGACTTCTGCATGATCTAAAAGACAATTTCAATGTGATTTATTAGTTATTCCCACCTGATCAATATATTTTTCAGATCTTTTATGTTTTTCAATGGGATATCAAATGCACAAGTAGCGAAAATCGTAAATTGCATACACAAATTGATGCATTGTTCTGGACGGCTTTCCTTCTCATATTTCATTGTTCTGGACGGCTTTCCTTCTCATATTTCATTGTTCTGGACGGGTTTCCTTCTCATATTTCATTGTTCTGGACGGGTTTCCTGTCATATTTCATTGTTCTGGACGGCTTTCCTTCTCATTTTTCTTTTCTGGACGGTTCCTTCCTTTTTTCATTTTCGGAGGGCTTCCTTCTCATATTTTACACTTTACGAAGGTTTTTATTTGTTAAAACAAATTTTAAATTTAACAATGCATCTTAAAAACCTAATATAGGTTAAATGTTGTATTGAATAAGTAGACAAATTGCGACCCTAACACCTCAAGCAGGCTATACATAGCTGGGGAACCTGGGAATGTTTTTGCACAAGCACTGTGGCGTCAACCTCCTACGAGATACAAACTCAACCCCCACTGGTCTTCCAAAGTTATCGCAGCACATCGCCTTAAAGGGCCTTTCCCCAACAAATCGTGGATACAATTTTTTCTCCGTCAGACCCTTTGTATACTCCTACTGCTTTTTTTCAGTTAAGGGGGGGCCCACGCTCAACAATCAGGGTTTTGGGGTTAAGATTGTTAAGTAGCTGTCCCTAGAATATGACCAAAACTAATAGATCCTTACTATAAAGTCAAGGACCTCGAATTTAAAAGGGCCCCCCAAGTTAAAGGGTTTTTACAAATTCTATAATCTGAATACTGCAGGAAGTCCTTCACTCACTGGTGTCTTGAAGAAAAAAACCAAAGGGGAATCTGATTATTTGACAAATAAGGGATTACTAGTACTTTTTTTTCCATCTCAATAATCAGTCCTTTTCAGTGCGTGCTGATGAGATTTTTTTCCTGGGGGTCCTTCGGTTTACCCAAACAACCAATTACACATTTTAAATGGTCCTTCAAACCAATTGGGGAATACTATTAATCAACAGATTTAATCTTAGCTGGCCAATTCCCCTTAAAACTTTTTTGCAAAGTTAGGTTAATTTTAGAAAGCCAGATTTTCAAGTGAGCTGAAAATTTATTATTTCAGGATTTACAACAACCAAAGAGGCAAATAAACTTGTAAGTTTAAATTTGAAGTGTTAAAAACAAGCCAAGTACTAAGTAGCTGTAAATTTTATTATTTATGTGATTTACAAGTAGCCAGGTAGGCAAGGATTTTAAAATTTTTTTTATTTACAATGATTTAAAAGTAAGCAAACCATACCAGGGCTAAAAATAGAACCCCGATCAGAAGTCTCTCTTTGTTTACAACGTGTCTTACATTTCGTGAGTCATTTTTACAATAAGCAAGTGGGCAAGCAACTTGTAATATAATTTTTTTAAAGAATTGCAAGTCAAGTTCAGCTAAAATTTATACACTAATTTAAACAGTTATAAAATAAAGCAAAATTAACGTTTTCATTAAAATTTAATTAAAAAGCTAGGCCCATTAGGCCAAGTTTGTTGACGCCAACTTTTTAGCACTTACGTTCATAAGCAAGTGCAACCAAGTGAATTTTTAAAAAAATAAAGAACATTTTCCTGGTAAATTTTCAATGTCATCGCTAAATTTTAATGGGGGATTTGTAATCTGCACCAAGGCAGCATAAACCTGTAACATAACCGTCGTTAACAAAAATTTTGCCAAGTCCTGCAACTATAAACCGCTTATAGACACAATCGCTAGATTAATCTGCTTAAAACCATAACATTCCATTACATTTGTATGGCACAGTCACTCCCGGAATTCCCAAGACCGGGGGTTTTCCCGGGAGAGTTTATCTGGAGAGGGTTCCGGGGTCAACGCCCCCGCGGCCCGGCGTACCAGGCCCCCCTTTATCAGTGTCCCGGGATGCGACCCACACCATCGACTACACCCCAGGTACCCATTTTACTGAGGGGGAACAAGAAAAACAGTGGAAAGAAACACGCCCAATGTTTCTACTCGGGCGGGGAATCGAACCCAGGCCCTCGCCGTTGAACGAGACTTTAAAACCACCAGGCCACCAGGGGTGCAAAGATTTTCAAGCGCCAGGGGCTAAAGTACTAAAAATTTAAGAAGTTTAGATTGAAGGTAATGATATTTTTACATTGTAGAAAGTTTTTTACAAGTGGCAATTTCTTTCATGAGCATTAAACGGTTCAAAATAACGTCATCCGGGCAAAACAGGTTTACACGACCAGGGGGTTAAATGAAAAACGGCCATCGGGGCAACCGAACTACTCAAAATAAAAATTGAGCTATTTAAAAAAGCCAACATACGATCATATTCATTTGAAAATTTGCGACCAAACTGTTGGGGGGGGGGTTAGTTTTGGGGCTAACGTGTACTTTTGATTCAACCATTAAGAGATTCGAACTCATCTATTCTCACCCAACTCATATCGTGTAGAGAGCGGGGCTAAAAAAAGTACAAACTATGCCGTACCAACTAAAACACACCTCGTAAGAAAATTAAGTTCCCAAACCTTTTTTCGCCCTAATGAACAAAAGGGGTCTATGACAGCCCACAAGGGACGCTTTACACACGATGGGCCCGAGACAACAAGAGTAGATGTGGATTTAAAGACCAAAAAAACTGCCTAAACTTTTAGGGGAAAATTTAAAGGCCTAAAGACAGCGTTCTCCGTTAAAAATTTTCAAAACCTATACTGTTAAAATAATCTGAGGATACTGTTGAAAACCGGTATAAAATCTGAGGATCTTTTGAGAAGCTCGTATAACTGAGGATACTGTTGGGGAAGCTGGGTATAAACATAAAACGCGGGGGCTGTGTAAATTAAGAAAAAAAAACGAAGCTCTAAGGGAAAAATTAAAGGCTAATAACCGGTACTGACTAATAGCCGGGACACAACAGCCACACTCCAGCCAAAATGTTGCCCAGACTGCCTCGTTATACGCTTTTGGTTTAATTTCCGTTTGATGGACATTTAAAGGGCCCAAATAGACAAAAAATGATTTACTGATGTGGTCAAACAAAGGCAAAGCCTTAGATTTACTCCGACACTACCAAAACCACTATTTTTATCCCAAACAACCGGGAGTCAATAAATTGACACATGTGCAACTTTTGGGGTATCTTTATGAGGAAACTTTTCGCCACCAGGGGTTTAAATTCCATACAAAGAAATCTTGAAGAACAGATTTTTAATACTTGGGAATTTCTTCTTTTGCCTAATCTTTGGGCACACCTACTTCAATTGAACAAATGTGACACGACCTAGACTGCTGCA